AAGTTTTGTTTTTGTTCTTATTATTTGGTCCTTATCTGGTTTGGTATCAGGTTAATGCACTAATGCTAGACTCATAGAATGGGTTGGGAAGACTGCCTTTCTTCGTGGGGAATAACTGAAGAACTGGTGTAAGTTCTTCTTTCGATGTTTAGTTGAATTCAGCAGTGAAAGCATCTGATCCTGGTCTTTTCTTTGCTGGGAGGCTTTTTTCATACTATTTCTGTTCGTATTTTCTATTTTTTCAGGGTTTAACCTTGTTAAGGTGCGTGTACCTAGGAATTGGTCTACTTTTAGATGATCAAATTTGTTGGAATATACTTGTTCTATTTAACAGCCTTGTATGATCTTTGTGTTTCTGTGGTAAAACTTGTGATGTTTTCTTTTTCATTTCTAATTTTATTTATTTTAAAGGAAAATTGTTTTGTAGATTTCCAAGGGAGGAAGTAAGAGAAAGAAGATGGAATGGCCCTATGATACCTGTGGATCATGAACTGGATATTTTACTGCTACTTTATAGCCAAGTAGAGAGAATGCAAGTAGCATGCTGGAGGCAGGTAGTAAAAAAAAGGTAGAAATTTTTATGAAGTTGAAGAACACTGTAGAAAATGCTATTAATGGTCAAGTAAATAAACCACTTGTGAGGATATCTTGTAGTCTCCTTTCTAAGAGAGCATTATATGCGATGGGCACAGAGATGAAGGCATAATGGTGGATGAAGAGTCAGTTAGGTATGGTCTAAGCATTGTTATTATTGAGTGTAAACTCATTATGTACTATCTTACCTATAGAACCAGATATCTGATGGTGATAGCTTAATCTCATCACCATTTCTCATCATTGTGAAGACGATGAAAGAAACACCATTCCTTACCAGTACTCCCATCACCATTTCTATCATTTTCTATTTTCTCTAAGAATATACACTTTTTTTTTAGTTTTTTTGCTTCCCATCTATCATGATTCTGCCAGATCCTGAATGGTAGAATTACTGAATGGCTATATATTAGGATGATATTGCTGATTGAGGACCTCACTTTAAGAAAAAAAATTGCTGAAACAGCAACGTAAACATTTGAGGCTCTCATTCTTAATGATTCTGATGAAACTGAGCAGCTTTATAGTAGAAGAGAAAGAAGTTTAGAGGGACCTGAGAAACTTTCTTGCTATACTATGTATTTGAAAAATTAACAAATTTTTATGACCCTATATAATGAACATATATAAAAATTTGATTTTCAACTGACAAGAAAATTTTGAGTTCACTACTTACACTTGATTAGTTTAGTAGCTTGTTGATAAAAGTGTATGAGTGATAGACAATACGGGAAATAAGTAATAAATATTTATTTTTCCCTAAACAACCACAGAAACAAACACTCTGACCTCCACCCTTGCATGCTTGCTGTCTCACATATACACTAACATATTTTAGCTAACCTTCCTCTCCCCATTGTCTGTTAAATATATGTGTCAGCTGGAAGTAATTCTGTAATATAGTCTATTTGGCTAGAGAATATTGAGATGGGACTACAGGAGAAATAAGCTAGGGATGTAGTTCTGTGACAGAACACTTGTCTATCACATGCAAGGCACTTGTTTCAGCAAAAAAAAAATATATAAAATGAACTAGATGTAAATAAGACAGAGAGAGATACAGGATTAAGTCCTGAGTGGAAACAAAAAAAATTTAGTTGCTTTTAGTGGATTTTGGTTCTATGAGGGAGAATTTCTGTTAGAAGGAAACTTAAATATAATTATCTGAGAAAAATAGTGTTATGAATAAAGCTGGGCAGTGAAAGGACTCTAGTTGACCTTTGCTGATTGTGGATGTTGAGAATCTGAGTATCACTTCCTATTTTAAAAAGCCAAAGAAGGGAAGATATTCTCTTTTCTTGATGCATGCTACAGACTTACATTCAGCATTCAGATCTTTGATTTGTAGCTTGAAAGAGTGATACAAAGATTCCCAATTAGTTTGAGATTAATAGTTGAAGTGGCAGCTATCAAGGTGAGAATTCAATGATATGAAGTATCCACTAACAATCTCTTGAAACTGCCCCAAGAAAGCTTTTAATGAAAAATATAGAAGGTATTATTTTTTTACTTAACTGATGCAGTATGATATCAATGATCATTTAAAGGCAACTTACTGTTTCCTAATACTTTGCTTTGAGATAATACTGGGTTAAGAAGATGGCTGAACAACTCTTTAGGTCTTTGCTAAGAAATAGAGCGCAATTTTTTCCTCTTAGCTAAGATCTTCTGCTTTGCTTCCCTCTCAATCTCTTCTCTTCTCCAGACAGTTCCTGACTTGAGCCATTTGATTGCAGCATGATTTGAATGCTGCCCTGTGTAAGAGATAGACTGTTCCATAGCTGCCAGGAAAACTACTGTTATATGTGGCCTCATTCAAATACGCTAGTTGTTAATACTAGAGTCCTATCAAGTTATCCATATCCTGCCATTAAACAACAAACTAATACTGTAGGTGTAGCAGCATTGGGAGAAACCACTAGATTCTGGCCCACAATATTATGGTAAGTAAGTGTGCAAAGATTTATGTCATTTATGTCATTATGGGGGTTTGAACACAGAGCCCTGATCTTTTGAGAAGTTCTTGGAAGACATTCTACTGTTGAGCTATGCCTCTAGTCTTAAAAGTCTTATTTTAAGTTAATCATTTGGGGCTTCAAAAATGGAAATGTTGGTGTAGGTATAATCATATTGTATTTACATAATATTCTATTGCAAATTCTACCACAAATTCTTCGCAAATTTTATAAGTGATTGCTTTTAGAGTCAGCAAGAGAAGCTTTTGTTCCTTTATACTTGAGAAAGGCAAGGTAAATCAAAATATTTAGAAATGACATAAATTATCATTTACCAAGCAGTAAAAATCTGCAAACACTGAAAAACTAATATCCTTGGTAATAAATTTTTGTCCTTATAAAAATACAAAACAAAACAATTTTATACAATAGTTGGGCTATTCAAAGTTTGTTCGATCTAATATTACTAAAAAAATAGAAGGTTACTATAGTAGGAAAGAACACATGAGGTTCACATTTGAAGATAATGTGAGTCACATATGTGCTAAAGGCACAAGGCCTCTATACTTTGAGAGCAAGCATCCCAAAATGTGTTCAGTAGATAAGTACTTCATATGCTGACTTCAAAGAAAAGTCTCCATTTGAAACAGTTTCAGAATAAAACCTAAGAGAAGTAAAATTAAGCCCAGATAGTTGCTTCAAATAAACTAAGTCATCAGTATTCCATATATCTTTACTTTAGCACTGTTTTCTAAATTGTGATAAGGTATTTGTTTACATATATAAATTAAACAGCATAGAACACCAAGTCTTGAAAATAATTTTGATCTTAGATTATTATCCTGAATAAATATTAGTACATACATATAATTTCAGATAATATAAATAGTTTTTATTCTATTTTAAGTACTCATCTGATACTTTTTACATTTGGATAAGGTTTGAGTCTACTAGTCGTCAGTGAAACTATTATTTGTAAAGAAATAGAAAGTCCTGGAAAAAAATACATCAAATGAAGTAAGTCAGGCCCAGAGAGACTCAGGATGCATGCTTTTCTTTGTATATGGAAACCAGAATTAGCTTATACTTATAAGCCATGTTGGGTGGCATGCAAGTGTGTGTAGGCAAATGTGTTAACTGAAATATTGTAGACTCAAGAGAAAAGTGAAATAATGTCATTCCTTAGAAAGTCCAAGTCCATGTTCAACAAAATTAACAAGAAGCAGGAAGCAAGTACTTGAAAGGGGTAGGATGGAGTCAAGGCATATGGAGTGGACAAATGAAGAGAAGAAAGGGACAATGCAGTCAAGAATCTATTGTCTGCCCTACAAAATTAAGAAAAGTGAGGGAAAGGTTTTGTAGGGGAGGGATGTGTGAGAATGTTGAAAGAAGTGACGCTGATCGAGATATATTGTATTCATACACTACTTTGTTAAATGACAACTCCTTTGTACAAGGATTTAAAGATAATAAAAAATAAAGCTGCTGAAGAGTGAAAAAAGGGATAGGTAAAGGAGAAATAGATGTTGAATGTTGAAAGGGGTGATTGATCAAGATACGTTGTACTCATAAACTACTTTGTTAAATGGCGAGTTCTTTGTTCAATTATTTAAAGATAATAAAAATAAATAAACAAATAAATAAAAAGAAATATCTGTTATGATTATATACTAATGTACATACTCAGTACTATTCAACAGACCTACTAACTTAATGAAATATGCAGGTGACCTATTACTTGAGCCTAATTCCAGGGCCTTTTGCAGTGGATGTTTTCAAGGTAGGTATGCTTTCAATTTATGTCTGAGCTGTGGTTTTCCTACTCTTGCTTCCCAAGTTGCTGTGGACGATAACTGTGTGCCACTGTGCCCAGCCATTTTCTCCTGTACTTAGCCATTGTTTGAAACTAAGTCTTGTAAACTTCCTTTTTCCTGGGCTGGACTTAATCTGTATCCCCCAATTGATGCTTCTCAAGTATCTAGGATTATAAGTTTAAGCCACCATGCTTACAATAATTTAAAAAAAGTATCCGTGTTTTTTAAACTAAACAATGATTATGCTAAATATGTTTAATTAAGTTCCATGTTGGCACTAAAAATTATGAAACTTAGTTGAATATAAAATACTCATCACGATTATGCCAAATGGAAAAAATCAAAGGATACATAAAGTAAATGTGTAGTGAAAAGATACTGGAAGGAAATTCACCAGGATATTAATAGTGATACGTTATAGTGACAGAATGTGTTTCCTCTTGAATTTTTCCAGTGTACATTATTTTGTATTTTATTATAGAATAAAAATATAACAAAATGTGTAGTTATACAGAAAAGGATTTCCACATGTTTACAATACATTGCAATTGACCTCATAAAATATATACTTGTTATTATAATGTAATATAACGCAATGTGGCATCATAAGAAGCAGATAATAAAATATATTGTTTACCTCTCTTTCATCCATATTCAACCACTGTTTTGGATCTTCTTCAGTAGCTAAAAAGGCTATCAACTCTAAAGCAGTAAGTCGAGTTTGACGTCTAGACGACACAAATATTAAAACAGGCTTGGCAGGAGAGTGACTTCTAATTGCTGTGTAAAGATATTGAGAATAGAACATTAAGCACCATTCACATTAGAATGTAAATTTCATGGTATCAAATAGAAGTAGGATATGGTAGCCCAGAATCTCATCACTTTGGAGGCTAAGACAGAAGGATTTTGAGTATCAGGCTAGTCTGGGGTCTAGAGTGAGATACTGTTTCAAAAATGAAACAAGCAAAAATATATTAAAGGGAAACATTAAAAAATGTAAATAAATTAGGCAGAGTCCCAATTGGATAATGAAATTTTGTTTTAATTTAGGTACTAAATATTTCCAATGGAATGTTGAACAGAAGACAGGAAAGGTAGGTTGCTAGCCTTATCTAAGAAGTATATTGCACTATGGCCCCAGGACAGGGAAGATTTAATTAGGTCAGCTCCAAATTCTATCTTGTGCTTTCAGAGAAGGGGAATTCACATGCTACAACTCTCCATTAAGATCTATAAAAATAGTTCTGTATTCTTTACTTGTGTTTCTGAGGTATTTCTACTTGCCTAAAAAGTGGTTTTAGGATGTATAGAAGAGGTAGAAGAATGAAGAGAAAAGGGGAGAGAACACAGGCAAAAATTCATTGTATATACCACAGAACTTAGAAATATAAAGGAAGGGTTGGGTTGAAGGTGGTGAAGATGTTGAAGTGGTGACACAGATCAAGATTCATTGTACACACAAACTGTTTTGTTAAATTGCAAAAAAATTCAATATGTGACCTAAAATTAAGATAGGTAAGGCAAGAGGTAGTTTGAGGGGGGCAAGTAAGAATGTTGAAAGGGGTGACATTGATCATGATGCACTGCATTCATAAACTGCTTTGGTGAATGGCAACTCCTTTGTACAACTACTTAAAGATAATACAAATATATAAAAGAAAGTAAAGTCTGTAGGGTTAGAAAAATGCCCAAGACCACAAAAAATTTGTTTTTTTGGCTTGTTACTAGTAGATAGAAAATTTAGGAAGAACAGGTAGGAGACAAATCAGAAGAACGCTCCCCCCCCCAGGTTTTTAAAAACGTATGTGAGGTTTCAAGTAAGAGGATAAGAGAAGACAGAAATGAGCTAAAGAGGATGCCAAGCTTAAATACATATCTGAGAAATGCACAGTGAGAGTCAAACAGATGAAATGAATACTTTAAAATCTGAATAAGATTACTAAAGGAAATACTCTTAATTCCAATGTTTAAAAATACCACTTGTAGAACCACATAAATCATTTGAACTAACTGGAAATGAAGTTTTTTAGTTTATAGTCATGTCTACACAGTTCTCTTAAAATAGTCAGAGATATTGAAAAAAACATATGAAAATGGTCAGCTTGCTTGTAATTTCTTTTTTGAAATGTGAGCTGAAGAATTATTGGCTGAAAAATTAAGGTTTAAAAGGTTGGCATGACCTTTGCTATTTTTAATCCCTTAGCAGTGAGAAATATTATAAAACCATATTTTCAAACTCAAAAAATGTAACAATCTAAGTGTAGTAAATACTTTATAAGGATAGAAACAGTGCTAATATATTAAAAGGTGAATGCCTGGTGCTAGTGGCTCATGCCTATAATACTATCTATTCAAGGAGGCTGAGATCTGAGGATTGTGGTTCGAAGCTAGCCAAGGCAGGAAAGTCCATGAGCTTCTCTCTCCCTCTCTTACTTTTGTTTTCTCTCCCCGTCTCTCTCTTTCTCTCCTTCTCCCTCTCTCTCTCTCTATAAACATTCTCTCTCCATATACACATACACAGACACACACATAGATACACACACACATAAGATCTTCAAGTAATTGAATGAAAGAACTTCCATCTAACAAAACAGTTTATGAATACATATATTTTGATCAATGCCACTCCTTTCTACATTCTCATTTATTCCTTCCCTACCCACCCCTTTCCTCACTCTTCTTAATTTTGTAAGATATGCATTGGATTCCTGACTGTATACTTTCCCTCTTCCCTTCTTAATTTTTCTACCCCTTTCTCTTTGACCCCACCCCATCTTTTTCCAGTACCCACTTTTTGGACATTATACCAGTTGTAAAGAAATGGAAAGATCTAGAAAAAAGTATGTCAAGTGAAGTAAGTCAGGCCCTGAGAGACAAAAGATGTACGTTTCCCTTATATGTGGAAGCTAGATTTAGCTTACAAACTTTTAAGTAAATGTTAGGTACTATGTGAGTGTGTATACCATGTATAAATTGAAATATAATAGATTCGAGGAGAGCCTACATTTAATTTCTTAGAAAAGCAAAGTCAGGGCTGGGAAGGTGGCTCAGTGGTAGAGCGCTTGCCTTGCATGCATGAGGCCCTGGGTTCGATTCCTCAGCATCACATAAGCAGAAAAAGCTGGAAGTGGTGCTGTGGCTCAAGTAATAGAGTGCCCAGGCCCTTTAAGTTCCAGAAGTGGTGCTAGAGCAGAGGCGCGCGTGCGCGCACACACACACACACACACACACACACACACACACACACAAGTATTTTGCTGATTAACTCTTGATTTTCATAACACAAAATGCTTCATTTCTATCAGTGTCATGAAGTCATTCTTTAAATAGATAAAAACAACCGCTATGCGGCATAGGAAAAATAGATTCATTTATCTTATTTTTCACTCATCACATATCAGAAAATTATAGATTATAAGTGACAAATCTATGATAAGTCATATTAGAAATACAACGTTTGAAACACATGTATTACTACTGCAATATTGGTAACATTTGTACTCACAATCATGAATGGATCTATCTCTTTTTTAAGCCTCAACATTTAATGGATTTTTGCTGCTGCAAGAACAGGTGTGGCTGAACAGCTCATGGCAGATTTATTGATCATTAGTGATTTTGTACAATGCTTCTGTGGAGGTGTAAATAATCTAAACTACCAAGATTGGTCTCTAGCTCACAATCAATACTTTGCTTCTGTCATAAGGCTAATTACAGCAGCTAAAAAGTCACCTCACAACTGTCACCTCACAGTCAACAGCAGTTCACATCAGATAATTTATTTTGCAGGTTATTTTTAATTGATACCATAAATATTCCTTATGCAGTCTAAATAAAACAAGTTTCAATAAAATAAGTGCTATTTTTAACTCTTTTCTCTTTGCCTAATTTTTTAGAAAATAAAAAATAAAAAAGCTCCTAACTAGCATAAGAATACACCTTAAATGATAAAGTAAGAATTTTTTTAGAGGCTGGGAATGTACAGCGCTCTCAAGACTCTGGATTTAACAAAGACTTAGTTAGTTTCTAAACACACATACTTTTATCCTATGGCAAAGACATTTCTATTTGTGAAATATCTCAAGTGTCAATACATATTTATATTCCTTCACAATTGTAAAGTAAATAGCTTTAGATTATTTGTATAAGTTGGGGGACTTCTAAAGCTAAACCACTATTTGATGGCTACCATCCAGAACAGTTACTGTTTCAATTCACAAATCTAAAGCTTACCCTGAAATGCAGGCTTGTTCATACTAGCCATGCGAGGACAGTAATGTTGACCTGGGAAACCTTGAATGTGCACTTCTAGAGGAACAGGGCGTACTGATGGTCGGAAGTTGAACAAGCCCATCTACAGAAAATATGTGAGAAGTTATTTTCAATGTTTGTATTTAAAGAGGCATCAAAACATAGATTTAAATATAAAAGTTGTTGCTAAATGACTAATGTATCTACCAGTCTTCCACATACCTGCTTAATATTGAGCCAGTCAGCAAGGTCTCTGGCATTAGCTAATGCAGTAGACAGCCCAACTATTCTAACAGGCTTTTCTGTGTGTGATGAGATGAAATTTGTTCGAGATACAATGACTTCCAGAACAGGACCTCTTTCTTCCCCTAAAAATCGTACAAGAAATATCAACGATTTAACAAATCCATGCTGGCTGTTGGAGTATAGCGTTAGCAGTTTTTTCAAAACAAAGAACAATTAGGACTAACATATGTTCAAGCAATCCCTCTTATAACATGCTGAAAATAATATATATTTATGTATATATATATATATATAATGTCCACTGCAATATTATTCATAAAAGCTAAGAAACAGAAATAACGTAAATGTCCATTAACAGATGAAGGAATAAACAGGAATAAACACTGTGCCGTAGCACAGTGAAATATTATTAAGAAATTAAGGAAAAAGAGAATGCACCAAGAGCATGCTGGCTCAAGTTTATAATCCTAGCTACTCAGAAGGCTGACATCCAATAATAATGTTAGCAGCCCAGGCAGACAAGTCTGTGAGATTCTTATTTTTAAGTAACCAGCAAAAAGCCAAAAGTAGAGGAATAGCTCAAGTGACAGAGTACCAGCCATGAGTGAAAAAGCCAAGCATGAGTTCAAGGTACTTAGTTCAAGTCCCAGTACCCATAGGTACTGGATGGTCCTGGGGAACATTATGTTAAAAGAAATAAGGCAGGCATGGAGAGATAGGCAAATACTTCCTAATCTCATTTATGTGCAGAATAGAAAAAAAGTCCAAACTCATATAGAATGGATACCTGAGTGAAACTGGAAAGGAAAATGGAGATGTTTGCTAAAAAGTATTGTGTCAGTCAGATAGGAGGAATAGTCTATAAAATATACCATGTAACAGGGTCACCACAGTTAATAAAAATATGTATTTTAAATTGCTAAGGAACAAGTTTCTAATGTATTATCATAAAAATTATGTGAGGTGATGTCCTAGTATTATACAATTATTTTACACTGCATACATATCAAAATATTATCTTGTTCACATCAATACATACAATTATATACCAATTAAAAATTGCTATAGTAAAATAAAGTTCAGGTTCATAAATCAACTTCAATACACTAGTACCCACCAAGCAAATGGATCTCATCTATGATGAGAATAGTGACTTGCTTAACATAACTCCTGTTTTGCCAGCTTCTACTGACTCCATCCCACTTCTCAGGCGTAGTGACAATCAGGTCAGCCTTGGCAATGGATTTCATATCAGGAGTTACATCTCCTGTTAGCTCAATAACTCTAGAGGGAAAAAAAAGTGATCACGTCAAATATAATACTGAAAAGGAAAAAATACCTTTTTTGAAGTAAAATTTTAGAATGATTAAACATATGTTCCCACCTTTTTCTTTTCAGAGTATATTATTCTGATAGCTATACATTTAATTTTTATATAGACAGATATGCAAGACTGTCAAACATTGTGTTTATTTATTTATTTATTTTTTGGGTCAGGTCGTGGGGCCTGAACTCTGGGCCTGGGCGCTGTCCCTCAGCTCTTCAGCTCAAGGCTAGCACTCTACCACTTGGGCCACAGCGCCACTTTCGGCTCTTTTCTTTTTGCTTATGTGGTGCTGAGGAATCAAACCCAGGGCCTCAGGCATGCAAGGCAAGCTCTCTAGCTCTCTACCACTGAGCCACCTTCCCAGCCCAAACATTGTGTTTATTATGTTCACCAAATCTCTGCCTCAAGTGACTTTATGAAGCAGAATACCTATCTCTTCTATATATTAATAAGCATCTTCTTTTGAATAAATGTCTTTTTACCGAAGTGTTAACTTATTTCCACAGAAAGTACAGGCAGTCTTAAATATACTGGGACATAAGATAGCAACTACATACGTGCCACCTCTTTCTGAGAAAGTCTCAGTCTTTTTTTATTTATTTATTTTATTTGTGAACATACTGTACAGAGGGGTTACAATTACATGGGCAGGATAATGCGTACATTTCTTACCAAGCATTGCAGCCTCCTCCTTTGTTTACCCTTCACATCCCTTCCCAGCCTCCCCCCTCCCCTCCCAAAGTCTCAGTCTTACAGTGAGAAAGATGACAAAGGAAAACTCAGTGATATCTTTAAAGTTAGTTAATATAGGAAAAGCCACTAAATTTTAAGCTACTATTAAATAAATACTTCTTTTGGGAACATCAGAAAAGCAAAAAGTCAGGATTGTTCTTCTAAGTATAATGTTCCCAAAACTTATTTTTATTCTTAACATAAATATACTAAATATTCAAAGAATAAAAAGTGAAACATCTCCATATTATTCTAATCCTGTAGTCATACAGTCCTCATTCTAAGGCATCCATACATTCATATACTTTATCAGCTTTAAAAGATGAGATAGGACATACAACGAAATAAAATTTTGGCATCATCTTTAGAGATTGTCTATCAGTAAAGAGTTCCTTCGTTTACCGTTATATAGAATCTTGCATTGCATAAGTATTCCATAATTTACTTAGTGATGCAGGTTATCTGCAACCATTACATGAACAGCTTTGTGATATATTAAAATATTAATTTAAAAACCATTATGCTTTTTGAGAACTATTTTTTTACAAGTAATTTACATGCAAAATGCCCTTTTAATGATTTCCGGAAGTTAATTTGAATAATGTGCAAGACAAACAGAGATTTGGGGGGGAAGGTGGGGACTGGTGGTGCATACTTGTAATCCTAGCTACTCAGGTGGCTCAGATCTGAGGATTATGGTTTGAAGCAAGACTGAGAAGAAAAGTCCTGAGACTTTAATCTCCAATTAACCACCAAAAAAGCTGGAAGTGGAGCTGTAGCTCAAGTGGTAGAGTACTACCCTTGAGCAAAAGTTCCGGGACAGAGCCCAGGCCCTGAGTTCAAGCCCAAGGATGAGCACACACACACAAAGTCCATATTAAGGAATTTCATTTTCAATCTTAAACACTATATACGTGGATAAAATTTTAATGGTGGTTGCAAACTTTTAAGTAAAAGGGTATGGAAATTCATTCAAAGCACATTTAAATGCCACTCTATTAGGTAGCCCTTTTATACTTTATAAAACATAATTTTTTTTTAGTAATGGTACAAAATAATGTATAATGTTTCATTATGGCATTTTCATACTTGTATACTATATACTTTTGTTGTGTCCCTCCATTGTTATGCTGGTCCTCCTCAAATAGTCCCATACTTTGTGCTTTTATGTCTTTAAGTCTAGCTTCCATATATGAGAGAAAATAAAACAATATCTGTTAAATAAAAGAAAGAACTTACTTTTTACCAAGTTTCTCCTCTATTCTAATTTTCCAGTCATCCATTCTTTCACGTACAAGGGCTTTTAAGGGAGCAATGTACACTGCCTGAAAAAGAGAAAATAGATAAAAACTTGTATAAAATTAGTGACTATAAAGAAACTGAGTCATGAGGGTATCAGGATAAAGAAAGGGCAGAAAGTGAACTTAACAGATCAACAGGCTTTTTTTGGAAGTGAAGCTTGGTAAAGACGACCAAATCACCTTCATTGTGGCTGACAAGGAAATGGCATCCCCCGCTCCCGCTCCCCTACTTCCGCCCCTCTTCCCCCCACCACCCTTAAAACTAAGGCTCTTTAAATATTAGGCAGAAAGAGTAAAGTTGAGGGTTGGAGGAAGAGGCAGATGGAAGTGGGGGAAGATGGAGGCGGGTGGGTGAGCAATGTTATTTTGACAAAGGAGTTTCAAAGTTTCAATAGTATCTGTGTTCATCAAGGGCATCAGCCTCAGATGTAGTGTTGGTCTTAGGCTCTCTCCCAAGACTGCTGGTACATTTGTTCAGGGGTAAGGGGAGGGGAGATGATTCAGCAGGTTCTGCATAAAAATCAGAAGCAGAGCTGAGGATGAAGTGGTAGAGCACCAGCTTTGGGCAAAAAAGCTAAGGGACAATATCTAGGCCCTAAATTCAATTCCCAGTACCACAACAAAAAAAAACTTAAACAAAGACTATCGTATGATGCAGCTGAAACTCTTCTGTATATCACCTTTACAATAAAAATTTTAAGGGTGGGGGGAGATGGGAAGGGATAGGAAGGGGAAACAAAGGAGGCAACAATGCTTGATAAGAAATGTACTCATTATCTTGCCCATGTATTGTAACTCCTCTGTACAGTATTTTCACAAAAAACAGATATGAAAAAAAATTTTTTTTAAAAGGAAAGAGTCTTAACATACAAAAAAATGACATGGCAATTGCACTGTTGCCTATATATCCAAGAGGTAAGGACAGCTACTCAACAAACATGTGCACTCTCATGATCATTAAACCATGATTAAGAACAGCCAAACAACAACTGGAGCATCCCAAGAGGGATGAATGGATAAACAAATGAGAATAGAATCTGATCTTAGTGGCTCACTCTGTGGTTCTTGCTACTCTGGAGGCTCAGAGGTAGAGTATCTGGCAGGTTCAATGTTATTACACATTAATTATCAAGAACACTATAGGCATTTGGAGAAACATAGAATAAGTTATTTCTCTATTCCCTAAGTATAATTAAACTTTAAAAAATGTATCAGGATTTCTACCATATCCAAAGAATTTGATTATAATTATATAACTTTATGTATTATAAATACCTCTATGAATTAAGTATCTCATAAGAAATTACCTATAAACTGTAGATACAAGGAAAGGATGTATGAACACAGCACAACTATATACATTAGAAAATAAAAGACTCAAGAGTTTGAGGTAACATTTTTGCATGAAAGTATGCTAATCCTGATCTGGCCTCTGAAAACCTGACTCAGAGAATAACATCTCTCACTGGAAAACAACAGTCATTCATTATGTTTAGAAGAGGCTAGTAAAGAGGTTATAAATGGCCTTTTAGAATAGAATGTAAGCATACAATATTTTCTACATACCTTTGAGGTGGGATAATTGTTGAAGACTCTGAAAATGGCAAGTTCAGCTGCAACAGTCTTTCCTGATCCAGTGGGTGCTCCAAGTAGGACATTACAGTCTGTGTGATACAGCGTATGAAATATCTGTGTCTGCACAGGGTTAAAGTGGCTGAAGTTATACAGGGCCTCATATGCTTTGCATCCTAAAGCTGTGATTGGCAAAGGCTGAAGATCCAGTAATTCTGAAAAGATCCAATAGGCACTGTTATAAAATAATTGAAAAAAAGTATACTGAACGCTATTTAAAAAATTGTAACAATCCTTAGTTTTTAGGGGAAAACGATTAACATTAAGTTATTCTATACCAATGACACATCTTTTTATCTTTTGTCATATTTATCACCTGACATACAAAAATAAGCTGGATGTGGTGGCACAAATCTGCAACCCAGACTTGTGGAAGGTAAAGGTAGGAAGATCTGTGGTCTAAGGCCAGCCCAAAGTAAAAAAGGAGACATTGTTGGAAAAATAAACAAAAGCCAAAAAGAGCTAAGGGCAATGACGAAGCATTTACCTAAAGGTCCCTATTATCATAAAAAAAGGTTATCCCTGTCCACAGATCTACTCCATTACTAGGTAGCTGACTGTGAAACTACATGGTTTCCATGCCAGAGTACAATGGTTTCAATTTTCTGTAGTATCAAAAATTGAGGAGAAAAAGGCATTGCAAGTTTAGGCTGGCAATGCTAAACAAAACATAGATACATCTTTAATAAGACAAAAATTTGAACCTTGTACAATGTAAAATGCATAATTTACTCTTGATGTTAAATCAAGATGCTGTATTTCAGTGAAAGACTTTTGGCTGACTTGAATTCAATACTATATTTATGTATACTTTGAGCCAAACTATACAGTTAAGTCATCAGCTAGATTTTGATTTATAATGTAATAACTTTAAAATATAAATCTGGGGCTAGGAAGATGGCTTAGTGGTAGAGTGCTTGCCTTGCATGCATGAGGCCCTGGGTTTGATTCCTCATACTGCTTATGTGATTATCACATAAGCAGTAAAAGCAGGAAGTGGTGGTGTGGCTCAAATGATAGAGCACTAGCCTTGAGCTAAAGAGCTGAGGGACAGTGTTCAGGCCTAGAATTCAAGCCCAACAACTGACAAAAAAAAAAAAAAAGAAAGAAAAAGAAAAAGAAAGTATAAATACTTGTCAATATGAATTAAGAGAAAAATTCAAGATAAATCATTAATTCAAATTAGCATTCAATATATTACCTGTATGGGGAGGATGTCTCTCTGGTAGAATCAGATGTTGAAAGTTGATAATGCAGACAGCCTCAGCTCCTAACCATCTATCAGACACTGCTCGGATATAGTATTGGGAAGGCAAAGGCTCAAAAATAGGAATTGTAAATACCAGTAGTTGAGCTTCCTTATTAATCACCTAATGGGAGAAAAGTCTAAAGTAAGTATGGTATTCTACTATTATAAAGGTCTTAGAAGTCTATTGATAAGATGGTAGAACTTGTACAAGATCTACCAAAATAAAGACACATTTTGCATTTCTATGTAGCCGAGATATTTAGCACTGTACTTTAGAGACTTGTGAGTAGCTCCTTTCTGAGGGCAAAATGTATATTATTTATAATACATAATACATATTTGTAATATATATATATATAATCTCAGCAGGGTACCAGTTTGATTCATTACTAACATTTGCTAAATATCATTCATTAAATTTCTTCATATTGTTTGCAATTCTAATTATCATATTACTATTCATTTTATGAGATTCAGTACTCCTTAGTGCTATATGCATGTTATGCTTACTATTATTTATCCCACCTATTTTACATACTCTATGTCTCTGTAAGCCATTCCTTAAACCATGATAAAGACCTTAATTTAATGTCTCAAATGCTGATCACATACTATCAATACTATAACATTTAATCACTGAGTTTAAAGCTTTAAAACTTTAAAGCCAAACAGAAACAAAAAAATAAATAACACCTAATGTTACTTTGATAAAATGGAACAATAAAGTAAAAAATACAAATTGTTATACTTATTTATTACACAAAATAATATATTCACAATCCACACTTACCTGTTTTTTTTCTGTTGTTGTTTTTTTTTCTCCTGGTCCTAAGGCTTGAATTTAGGCCTAGGCTCTGTGCTCAAGGCTAGTACTCTACCACTTGAGCCACAGTGCCACTTCTGGCCTTTTCTGTTTTTTTTTTTTTTTTTGGTTGGTCACAAAGCTTGAACTCTGGGCCTAGGCACTGTCCCTCAGCTCTTCAGCTCAAGGCTAGTGCTCTACCATTTGAGCAACAACTCCACTTCCAGCTTTCTGATGGTTTATCACAGATAAGAGTCTCACAGACTTTCCTGCCCAGGCTGGCTTTGAACTGCTATCCTCAGATCTCAGCCTCTTGAGTAGCTAGGATTACAGGTGTGAGCCACTGGTGCTGAGCTTGGCCTTTTCTGTTTATGTGGTATTGAGGAATCGAACCCAGGGCTTCATGCATGCTAGGCAAGCACTCTACCACTAAGCCACATACCCAGCCCTTACCTGTTTTTTAAGAGCTAGAAAATACTCTGAATGGTAAATATGATCATTTGTAGGATCTTCTACCCAAATCCACCAGGGTTCTCCTACTGTTCCGTGGACCTAGAAGAAATACTGTATCATAGTACTGTGACTATCATAAACTCCAAAGATAGCACTGTTTATATACTTGGTGTTTAATTTTCAACAAGTTTTTTGCTATATAATTTATAATACAAAGTTTACTTAAGGTTTAAATAACACTTATCACTATAAAAACACAACACATTTAGAAAGCTATGGTATATAATATAGTTGTTCCATGTTATAAAAATATAATCTAATTTTAGAACATCTTCATCACCTCTAAAAGAAAACTTGTTGGCACTACCTATCTATACACAATACATTTACCTTTTTTGGACATATCATATAAAATGAATCATATAACATATAGTCTTTCATGACTGGCTTATTTAAAAATTAACTTACTATATTTTCATAGTGCATCTCTATGTTTCAGTATGTATCAGAACTTTATTCCTTTTATTACCAAGTAACATTCCACTGGATTTAAACACTATATTTTGGTTATCCATTCCAAACTCTTTTTTTCCTTATAAGGCCCCATTTTGTTTATTAGTCATTTCTCCCTAATTAAGAAGGTGACCACATCCCATGGGATAATCTTAAACCCCATATGCTATGGCATTTTCCCAACAAAAGCTGTAATAAAGAAGAAGCCTAAGACAAATATTGGCCCAATAAGACTGATAAACAGGCCTAACACTGAGCTGAGGAAGTAGGATGCATTCTACTTGCTCAGTGAAAAAGGAAACAAGAAAACATTTGGGAAATACCCAACTGTGTCAGCACAGCAAAGAGGACAGGTCCTGAATACTATTATTAATCAGAAGACTGCATTGTCCATATACCTTATTCTCCTTTTGGATCTTATTATTGTTCAACTACATAATCTTGCTTATAGCAAGTTAAGGCAAGTTAAGCTTTCCATTCTTAAAGTCAGCCACATTCTATCTGATAGCTATAAAAACACTTAATTTCTCTCTTTTCTGATTTAACTAAATTGGAGATTGGCTATGGATATTAAAACAGAAAAAACATGAAACTTCTATTTATTCTAAAAAGCCATTAACTATAACATTTGAGATATGCACTTAGGGCTATGATTTTATATTTAGCTGAAAATTAAAATGTACAGAAATATTGAATATAATTTACCTGTCATCTCACCATAGAAACTGAGAAAAATAATCCTTGCTGTACATGTTTAGAAATGAGAGAATTTTAGGAAAATTTTGACACATAAAGGCCAATTAAGAATTGGATTAGAACCATGGTTGTATAATTTTAGCCCACAATGCTGAATAAGGTTCATTCATCTACATTTAATTAGAATCTTATAATAACTATGTCAAGTAAGCATTGCTATGTCACCATAACTGATTTACTTCTCTTCTTCCATTGGCTTCCTGAAAACAAGGACTTACCTGCCTTTCAATCTACAATTTCTAATACCACACTTATTAGGACAAAGAATGAACTAATGCAACAATGATACTCATTAGAAACTATGTTGGAAATGAACTTTATAACTTGAGGGGAAGGGGAGTGGGGAGTGGTAAGCAGGAGAAAATGAAGGTAACAGTGTTTAAAAAGAAATATACTCATTACCTTTCTTATGTAACTGTAACCTCCCCATTCATCACCTTTACAATAATTTTTTTAAAAGACAGATATTAAACAATGTTGACTAAAGGATCCAGTGATTTTCATTACATATAAATCTTCATGTGTGTGTGTGTGTGTGTGTGTACACTATATGTTTTAGTATAATATGATTACATATAGATAACTGATGGAAGAAATGAAGAAAGAGCCATAAAAATAGAAGTAGCTATGTTATGGGAAAAAAGAAGGACATTTTTAAGAAGAACTAAGTGGTAAGTGTTTAGAGAGGTAAAGAAAATAACAGAATACTGTAATCAAGCTACGTATTAGCAGTCAATTAGTCTTTAGAGACCATGAAAGAAGTCTCAGGAGGAAAAAGAAAATGGCTCTTTTAACATAGAGACTCTTTAATTTTTGTTAAGCTAAATTACACTAAGGAGAGACAGAAAAAATGATGATGAATGACAGAATAAAAGAACATAGAACTAATGTGCAAAGTCCTTACATAGTATAATCCACTAAAATGTTTCTCAGTGTTGTACTGTTTTTTTCTTGTGCTGACCCTGGGGCTTGAATTCAGAGCCTCAACCATAGCATTCTACCACTTGAGCCACAGCTCCTCTTTAGCTTTTTGGTCATTAATTGAAGGAAAGAGTCTCATGGATTCTCTTTCCTGGGTTGGCTTGGAACTAAGATACTCACATCTCAGCCTTCTGAGTAGCTAGGATTACAGGCATGAGCCACTGGTGTCTTGCTCAGTGTGGTACTTTTAAATTTCCTAGATAATCTAGATAATGTTAATCTTACAGGATTTTCTAAATGCCTTAGGGACAGATGTAAGAAGGTGTAACGATTCTTTTTTTTTGATGGTCGTGGGGCTTGAACTCTGGGACTGGGCACTGTCCCTCAGCTCTTCAGCTCAAGACAAGCGCTCTACCACTTGAGCTACAGTGCCATTTCTGGGTTTCTGGGGGTTTATTAGAGACAAGTGTCTCACAGACTTTCCTGCCTAGGCTGGCTTTGAACCGTGATCCTCAAATTTCAGCCACCTAAGTAACTATGATTATAAGGGTGAGCCACCGATGCCTGGCCAGTATAATAAAACTTGAGATAATGTGTTCATACAGTTACTTTCCACTTTTACCTGATCATTCCAAGTAAAATCAGGGCTGACACTGAGTGTCACTCGGAGAACAGTCCGTGTGATGGGCTGAATGGATGCTTCCATTGTAACAGAAGGAATCTGATGAACACACTGCTTGACTTTCAGTCCAATATTAACATGATGTAAAATGTGACCTGAAAGGAAAAATATCAAATAGGAAAAAATGTGCCCAGAAACAGGAAAAAAAAAGCAATATAATCTGATTTTTAAATGGGATATCAGAGAAGGAGAGTTTATTGCTTGTTTTATGATTTGCTATGTAGAATAGCTGACATTCTTGACCTGGTATGTTTGACTATTTTGTAATAGTTAACCTGAATTAGAGATTCATAGTTTAAAATCAGTATCAAGATTTCTTTAGCTATTAATAGGGCTCTTAAAATTACTGAGACTTGATAGTGTTTATTGTGAAAAGATCCATTTATTTCCAAGTTAGTTAGGACACTATAGAAATCATAACCAGAAATTATGAAGGTAAAACAATTTTCAATCTACCATAAAATATGTAAAATTTTCATAGATTCTGAAACAAAGATGTGTATGTATATATATATATATATGTATGTATGTATATCCCAAAGAGGGATATATATATATATATATATATGTATATCCCAAAGAGGGATATATATATATATATGTATATATATATATATATATGTATGTATGTATATCCCAAAGAGGGAGTTCATCACAAAACAAATGTGACTAGAAACAAATGAGACTAAGCAACTAATTGGAAATAGACCATATCTTACAGCAATAGGATTTTCTGTATGTCTTGACCTTATGAAACAGGAGTAAAAAATAATTAGTTAATAAACCCAAATTTTTATTCTTAATCATATTGAAAGTAGTGGACCTTGCAAAATATGACATTATCCCCAATATATGTGTTCTCAACTTCCCTCATCAATAATTTGAACTTTTCATTAATATTTCCCTATTCTAATCTATCTTAGAAGAAATATTTCTTCCTTTTCAAGTGTAATAACTAGTTCAACTCTTCTTAACTGTTGTTGGAATTCTTTCTATCAGTAATCTTCTCTCTTCATTAGCCTGCCTTTTGAACTCCTTTATCTGTATATGTATTCTATTCTGAATTGAAATATTGCCTAATTATATTTTAGTCTCAAAAATGTTAGTTTTCATAGAAATATATGGAGGAATAACTTTTCAATATTAACATAAAAAAGTCATATACCAAATATTAAGTACACATTAATACTGAGTTTAAATATATGTACGTGCATACTTAGTTCATTTAGAAACTTCAACAAATGTAAAGTTTAATGTTTATATTTTCTTACTACACTGATGCTGATAGATGTCGCAAATGATTTTGAACTCAGATACTGAATTTAAATTGAGAATGAACATCATTGAATGATTCTTACAATTTATGGCTAAGACTCTATGTATAAAATATTAAAGAGTCAAAAATACCAAGTACATTATTGCTGGTTAGACCAGGTAACTTCAAAATTTAGTGCAGTGTCATTCTTTCTGATGGAGGCATAGAATTCCATTGTATATACATATCACATAGAAAGACAGCTTCTTTAGTAAATGGTGCTGGCAAAATTGGTTAAATACCTGTAGAAAACTAAAGCTAGATCCTTATATATCACCCTGCACCAGAACTTCAAATGGATCAAAGACCTCAAAGTAGAAGCAGACACCCTGAAAATATTACAGGAAGGAATAGGAGAAACTCTAGGGCTCCTTGGCACAGGCCAAAAATTTCTTAATAAAGACCCAGAAACACAACAAATCAAAGAAAAGTTGTACAAAGGGATTGCATGAAACTGCAGAGCTGCTGCATAGCAAAGGACATGGCTAGTAAAATCAATAGAAAGCCCATGGACTGGGAGAAGATCTTCATTAGCTATACAATGGACAAGGATCTCGTATCTAAAATATATTTGGAACTCAAAAAATTAAATCCTCCAAAAACAAATTCTCAAAGAAACAACTGCTCCATTGATAAGTGGGCTAAAGACTTAAACATTGAGATTCCACCTCCCTCCAGTTAGAATGGCTAGAATCAAGAAATCTACTAACAACAGATGCTGGTGGGGATGTGGCCAAAAAGGGAACCCTACTGCATTATTGGTGGGAGTGTAAACTTGCTCAACCATTCTGGAAAGCAGTATGGAGGCTCCTCAAAAGAATCCACATAGAGGTCTCCTATGACCCAGCAATCCCACTTTTGGGCATTTACCCAAAGGATCACAAACAAGGTCATACAAAAGCTACCAGGACAACTATGTTTACTGCAGCATTATTTACTATACCTAAGATATGGAACCAACCCAGATGCCCCTCAGTAGATGAGTGGATCAAGAAAATGTGGTATATATATATATATATACAATGAAATTCTATGCTTCTATCAGAGAGAGTGAACCGCCCCATTTGTGAGGAAATGGAAAAACTTGGAAAAAAATCTTATTAAGTGAAGTAAGTCAGTCCCAAAGAAATTTAGGTCCCATGGTTTCCTTTATTTGCAATACTTAGTATACACATAAGATAATCTTATCAGATGAACTGAAAAGCTATGAACATATGTCCCTATAAGATGATGCTAACTGAAATGATATGGACACAAGAGGTCTGTCTTTATTGTTATTCTTTTAAATGTACTAGGTGATTTCTTTTTGTTTCCTTTGTATGTTCTTCCCCCTATGGCATATTCCCTCTTGTCCACTGTACTTGATTTTGGTACCCTGCATCTTGTATATACATTTGTCTAATCTGGGGAGGTGAAAGGGAATAATAAAATGCTAAAACAACCACACAGGATGACCCATTGATTGCAACAATGTTACCCACAGGATAGTATATTGGAAACAAACTTTATAACTCTGAGGGAAGGGGGGGAGGTGGGGAAAGAGGAGTGTGGGAGTTGGAGCAAAATTCAGAGATTTAAGAAGATGTTTGTACATAATAAATGTTTATAGACAAATAGGAAACATCTGAAAGAACAAATCCAAGTAACAACACATAAATGAATAGATAAATGAATAAATCACAAAGGACATCAAATCAAATGTTCTTATTACAATAGCAAAAAAAATTCTAATCATTTCTCCACTTATGTCTACATCCACAGCAGTGCCTAGAATATTTGTGACACTTCTTATGTTCCAAAGTAATGTTCCATGAACAACCAATGCCTGGTATTCAACTCTATTGGTCATATCTAACTGCAAAAAACTATACCCATTTAATGACAAGATTGTGAGAAAGAAATTAAATCAGAGGACAAAAAATTTTGAGGCATCACAAAAATGTTAAATACACAGTCTTCCATTATGTGTAAGAGAATGTATATGTCTGAAGTAGTGTACATTAAAAAAGCCATGTACTCATTATCTTACTCATGTAACTGTAACCCTTCTGTGCAGCATCTTTACAATAAAATAATTTTTTTAAAGCAAAAAAAAGTACAAACTCCATTATTGATAGCTAGACCAGGTAACTTCATAAAATTTGGAGTAATTTTTGTTTGGGATAAATTTTGTTTTGTAATTTATATATATATATATATATACATATACACACACAAACCATTATATATATATGAATTCAGATTTCATAAATATGGTAAATATTTGTGTTAGATGTGTAAAAATTCACAATACTTTTACTTCTTGTTAGTATTTTACTTGCAAAAATACATTTAAACATCAATGTTCCCTTCTTACCTATTTCATCTTTTCTCATATCTTTCAGCTTATCTACAGTAAGGTTTTTTTCTTCTAATCTTGTTAGAATGTGTGGTGGCAACACTGAAAATTGTCTCAAAGGACTAGCCCAACCCCAAAGTCTCTTGTCGATGACTTTACTAAGATTCAGGAGTCTGTAGGTCATGGTAGGCCAACGTTTCCTCAGAGCAATTTCAAAAAGAGCACGGACAATTCTAGCTGCATTCTGAAGAACAAAAGGGGAATATGGGTAGTTAGATTCAATATGTTTTTAATTGTCAGTAAATCTATTACTCAAAATCAGTCTCAAATAAAAGGATAAGTCAAGTAGCATCCTTCTATTTTGGGACAATGTTTCTTAATTGTCTTAAAGAAAGAAATGGCACATAAAGTGTTCAGGAGGTAGTGAAGTTTCTAACAAGGAATGCAAACTTTCAGCCAGAAGAGTAAGGCCTGTGTAATCACTTGGTACATGTCAGGACAAACTTTCATACTTTTTTTCAACTGCCTGTGCCCATCAACCTGTACTGATAATTTTGTATGGTTCACAAATGATGATATAAATTTCCCAATGATACTTGGTAGAAAAGATGTTCTCCACCACTGGAAGAGACAGGTAATGATGTCACAGATATATAATGGAAACATTGAGTTTATAAGGCCATATACAGCAGAATTAACAAAAAACTCTAAAATCCAGTTAGGGACAAATATTAGTGAGAGAAGGAAGAAAAAGAAAATACTGACATACAGCTAATCATCTCATTGGCTTGTTTATAAACTAAGTGATGATACTAGCATTACACAGATCATTAATCTTCACAACTGCATTTGATTGATATTTAAGTTGTTGAGTTTCAAAGATAGGAATACTAAAGTTTGGAGAGACTAAATTTTGTCCAAGGATATACAACTATCATGTCAGAGCATGTATTCAATTCCAGGTCTAAATGGCTTCAAACCTAACTATAAGATTTTAAAGATACATTCATCAACAGACATATAAAAAGTTAAAATAAATGTATCCTAAGGTTTCACAGCTAGTTCCATTCACGTTATTTCCTTTTCTTTATGATTAACTTTGCAGACTGTTTTACTGAAGATTGCATTTGCAATCATGAACAGGGATTCTATACTGAAAATAAAGGATGTTTAATTTAATTAACATTGTACAAAAAGATGAAAAACAGTAAAGCTTTCAAATGTAAACAGAAGATTTTAAAATTAAAATTAATGGTATGAGGGTAAAAAGTAACCAGAATCATTAGGGGTTTGCTGCTGAGAGAATAAAATTTAAGAAATACCATTTCCTTCTGAGCTGATAGTGCTTGTGGAATTACTGATGGCTCAAACTTAAAATATAATAGAATTAGGTATAATTTGTCTAATGCATTCAAGGATGATAAATTCATAATAGCTATTTAAGATGAACCAAAGATACTTTGAGATTCAACCTTAATCTAAGGTTGACTTCGTAGGCACCAATCATGTACAAAATGTGAGTTTTATACTGTAAAGCAATTCTTATGCTAGTCTCTCCTATTATCTTCATAATCTTGAATCAAGTAGAAATATTGTCAGACTATCAATCCAGGACCCAGTAAAAATTTGCTTTTATTTTTATGTTTAACTATGTTAATACAAATCATTAAAAACTATAAAATAACAAACAGTACTACATTACTTATCAGAGAAACAGAAAAAGCAAGTCACAAATAAGATGACTATAAACCTATAAAGAGAATATGTAAATCTTTTCATTGTACCTATATTCACTTTATATAATTTGTGAAATTATCATCTGGATACTTAGTTACATTGATTAAATTGCTACATTCATTCAAATGGTTTACTAATAGATCAGTTCATTTTTGTAAATAATTTACATTTTCAGCTATTTCAAAGCACTGCTGAGAATTTGTGGCTCTTAAAAATTCACTTATTTAACATATATTTCCTCTATGGTCTTTGAGCAAAAGAAAATATAAGTCAACAAAGTAATTACATATTCATATTATTTTGCTTTTAAATATGGGTAGCCCTCCATAATAAGCAAGCATATAATAAAAGTGAATGCTTGAGAGATTAAAAATATGTAAAAATGCTTAGAGAAGAAAAATAATTTGAAAAATAAATGGGGGGATAAAATAACATATTTAGTTCACATAAGGGGAAACTGAATATAAAAATGCAAACATTGTGTATGTTTTGTACCACAACCTCTTTTCTTGTGCCAGTACTGCGGTTTGAACTCAAAGCCTTGTGTTTGTTTCTCTAGCTGGCAAGGCTGACATTCTAGCAATATGAGGCATGCCTCTAGCTCAACTGCTTATTTTAGAAGTAGAATCTCCAGGACTTTTCTTTTTTCTTTTTAATGTGAAAATACCGTACCAGAGGGGTTACAATTACATGGGCAAGGTAATGAGTACATTTCTTATCAAGCATTGTTGCCTCCTCCTTTGTTTCCCCTTCCCATCCCTTCCCATTCCTCCCCCGGGCCCCAGCCAAAGTTGTAAAGTTCATTTTTCAACATAACTTCTTGTACATCTCATTGTTGCAATGGGTCCACCTGTATCCCTATTTAAACACTTTGTTTTTTTCCCTTCCCCTCCACAAATTATACCAACATCAAATAGAGTGAAAACAGGAGTTATACCGTGGGGGAGGGACATACAAAGCAACAAAGTAATTATCTTATAAATATGTTCGAAACAATCGCAAGAAAAAAAAACATTTGAATCCTAATATTGCAGCATTATTTACCATAGCTAAGATATGGAACCAATCCAGATGTCCCTCAGTAGATGAATGAATCAAGAAAATGTGGTATATATACACAATGGAATTCTATGCCTCCATCAGAAAGAATGACATTGCCCCATTCGTTAGGAAATGGAAAGACTGGGAAAAAATCATATTAAGTGAAGTAAGCCAGGCCCAAAGAAACATAGGTCCCATGGTTTCCCTTATTTGCAATTACTAGTATATGTCTGAGACAAGCAGAAACGGTCAGATAAGTTGATGTTAGGTGAAATAAACCTCTCCAGGACTTTTCTACCTGGTCTGGTTTCAAATTGTGATCCTATGGATCTCAGCCTACTGAGATCCTACTTACTAGAATTACAGAAATGCACCATTAGTGCCTCGCCTACAGCATTTTAAAGAGAATTTTACATTCAATGAAAATATTTTTCTTTCATTCTGTTTTTAAGTATCAACAGAGAAGATTGCATTTTTTTAAACAAAGAACTAGCATACTAATTAGAGACATAGTTATTAAGCCTTAATTAAAAGTAAATTTGTTCCAATGCAAACCACCCTCAAATCCTGATTTATGAGTACAGACTGAGAAGTACAAATGAACAGAACTAGTTCTAAGATAAAATAGTAGTTTGGTAGCATTTTGCATAACAATGCATTCATGAATTGACTTCTCAGTCTCTGAAGAGAAATGAATAAAGTAGGAAAGGAGTAAGATTCTCACCTGTGCAACATATGCTGAATCTGATATGAGTGAGAAACTGTCCATCTCCCCTCGGCTGATGTAAGTTTGCAGTAAGATGTTAATTTTCCCGTAACTATTTTCTACTCCTCCAGGAGCTGATAGTTCACAGAAATTGTTTAATAAGGCATCTAGTTCCTCTATTTCCTCTTCTCTGACCTCGAGGAGACAACATTTTCATAACAATAAGATCTGATTTGTTGAAAATTTCATATTTAAAAAAACCATAATGTATGTTTTAAAGTTTCTATTAAGTATGATATACTTCCTTTTGTATAGCTAAAGGCTAGAATTTTCCCTTAAGAAGTTATAAAATATAGTAAAACCATCTTGAAGCTGGTATATTTACAATTTGATTATTTTATCACCAATATCAAAATTGCCATGAAAATCTGATATGATAGAAAAATTAAATTATCTCACTTCACTATCCTTCAATTGATATTTCATTTTTTATTGGCCCAGAGTCAAAACTGCCCAACTGGATTAGGAAAAATTTTATTATCTTCAAATATATTCATTGCAGTCATATATTTATATGGTATAATAAATTTATAGCTTAAATCTATGAAGTACTACGTATCAAAGCACTGAATTTTCCATTGTTAATAATATTAAATTATGAGTATAGAAATATTTAGACCTAACTTTGAATTTTATTAGAAATAAGCCAGCATACTATATTATTCAATACTTTACTGAAAACATATAAATTATTTGATTTTGGGTAAATGCAAAAAATGATATCACGTATAGAACAGTATATATAATATTCTAGGATAGTAGATATTATTGATAATATTGCTGATGCCAAAAGTATTGTGCAATTTAGTTTGTAACCAGTAACAAAATTTAATTATAAGCTTCTATTAATGAATGGACTGGATTATACACCTCTGATTAAAACTTCTAATAATATTACCTTAATTTGATCAAATTCTTCAGCTTTGGAGACGATAGCAAAGATGTCACCCTCTGTTTTGTGAGCATCAAAGAGTTCATTGAAAGTCTACCAAAGTAAGTGTAATATTTGATTAAAATTTAAAGTCTAACAATTATAAATGTCATACAAATCACATACACTTAAACACAGGCCTAGACAATGTACACAGTTATGCACACAACGTAGCATCCTTGATGTATAAACATCAATCATCACATTCATCAGAGGCTGAAAAGTACTCCTAAATCATAGTAGAGAACCTTCAGAAGTAAAAAGGTAAAAAGATAACTATTAATTGAAACTTAGATAGATATTTAGATATTAGATATCTAATAATTTTTTGGTCTTTGCTTTGAGCATGATTAACCAGTTCTAAGCTGATGATATATCACAGAAATCTCAGAGGGGAAAAAACTACAAAATATGTAACACAAAGATTCTAATAAATCACTATCATGAAATTAACTTATATAAAAATCAGACAAAGGTAAAACAGGACTAGAGTTCTGGAGAAAAGTCACAACAACAAAACCTGACAATAGGTCTAACATGAAGTTTGGCAGCATTACACTAAGAAGTTAGAAAAATGAGAAAACTTATGTAATGGAAAAAAAAGGTAGATGTTGAGTAGGTGATAGAATGCAAAGTGTTGTGTGGAGAACCACCTGATAACAGTTGTAAGGTAACATATGTTAAATTTTCTTTTTATTTATAAAAATAGTAGTGCTATGAAAATAAATATAAGATCTATGTTGGAAAAAATATGGAAAAATAGTAAGTACATAGAGATATTTTCTAAAACCTACTTTACGTATAAGTAACCATTAAGTGGGCTTAAAACTTAGATATCATGTAATTTTCATATCAAATATGGATTTTTTTGAGAAACCTCATTTGAAGGTTCTATAGAAATGATTTGTATTTTGTCATTTTAAATACAATTGTTAAGTACTAAAGTAAAAATGAAAATATCAAAAATGTTAAAAATATGATGACTACAAATAGAATAAAGAAAGTTCACCTTAACTAAGATCTCTTTCTTGAAAACTGAGTCTTCTCATAGATTATCACATATTGGTTTCTTGTGTAGTGACATGTATGTAAACATATATGGCACCTCATCATACACAGGGTGACTTTTGTGTGTAAGTCGGTACTAAGATTTTAACTCAGGGATTCATACTTGCTAGACAATGTTCTGTCATTTGACTTTACATCCCAGACCACAAATAACATTTTAAAATCAACTACTAAGCTGGATAGGGTGGCACATGCCTGTAATTCCAGCACTTGGGAGACAGACAGAAAGATCATTTAAACACAGGAAAAGTAAAAGAATAACAAAAAGCAAAAGTTCAAGCTGCAATTGTGTGACCAAAATTATCCTTCAAAATTTCTTATTCAAAACTTGGTTGATCCTTGTATTTTTATACTGTCTTCAACTCATCTTCAGTGTTTCTTAATAACATGAAATTGTTTGACTCTTTATTCAAGAATGTCATTATGCAATCACCTGCTACTTAAAATCAATGAGGCATTCATTCCTTGAGACTTACCAATATGCTTCAATGGTTTCAGGTGTGGGAGTTTCTAAGTCTTGGGATATAGTCATTCAAAATGATAGAGGGCTCTTACTAGGTACAGTCATATTTTCCTCTTGTCATAGAGCATATACTGCTGAATTTATATAGTTTGAATTCATTATATCACTTCCTTTTGCTATTTTGCATTATTAACATATTTTGAAGTTAGAAATATTGGCATCTAAGAAGAAACATGTTATATTTGATCAGCATAATACCTCAATAGTGTTGTATTTGATATAAAAGTGGCTGGCAGTTCTGCCCAAATCAGTTGAGGAAAAATATCCAGTTCGTTCTTCAAAGCGAATCATCTGAGCCTTATCAAGTTTTCGTCCAACTTCAATGACTAACTGTTCTCGATGCTTTCTTAATGTTGGGTCAATCTATAGGAAAGAAATACAAACATTTGAATTCTTTAGAGTCATCATATGCAAATGTACCTATTTATAAAGATTGTATTTTATTTCTTACAAGTTTTCGACCATTTCTTAGCTTTTTATTTTTGAACAGTGTCACCTCCTCCCTCATTTTCTCCCAATTTTTCCCTTTCTGGCCTCCTTTCTCTCCAAATTGTATAGCTCATTCCGACACAGTGTCTAGTGAGTATCATTGCTGAATTGATTTACCCTTTGTCCCACCATTTCCATTTCAGTGTTTCCCCTTTCCCAAATCAGATAAACTTATATACAAGATAAAGAGTACAGAGATTAACAACAGGGACAAAAGGGAATAAGCCAAAGAAAAACAAACAAAAATAACTGCAAACAGTACAACAAAACCCCCCCTCTAGTTTCCATATCTTAGGAGTTCATTTTGATAAGTATCATTTTGATACACATAGCTATTAAGCCCTTGTGATCCTCTCCTAAGAATATCCTCCTTTGGTCTCATTGTAATGTCACCCCTTTTAAAAGAAATAATTAGAAAAACATTTCATTAAAGAGCATCTGATTCATTTAATTCTGATTTAATTTTGATTATTTCTTTCCGTCTACTGGATTGGGGTTTATCTTGCTGCTCTTTTTCAAGGAGGGTTAGATGTGTCATTAAATTGTTAGTTTCAGATCTCTCCAATTTGTTCATGTAGGAGCTCAGAGCTATAAACTTGCCTCTGAGTACTACATTTGCTGTGTCCCAGAGGAGCTGGTAATTTGTGTGTTCATTTTTGTTGAATAGCATGAACATTT